TATATGGTTGTTTATGTATTCTCTCATTCTTGCAATTGTTCATATATCAGGTTATTTATTTATTTATTAACATCTTGATTGGAGTTTAATTGCTTTATATATATATATATATATATATATATATATCAGGGTTTTAAAGGAGGAAGTATTTCAAGCAATATTTATTACAAGGTCAATGTGGAAAGAAATTCAGAGTGAACTCATCTGCACATTATAAAGCTACCTTCCTCATATGTGTGCACCTAGTTTTTAAAAATATATATCTAATATAAACTGTTACAATGTGTATCTCAACATTTTAAGGAATAGTACAAATATGAGAGCACCAAATTTTTAAAAAACAGAAGCATTTACCAGAATGGACTTTTGTTTTGTGCTTCTTTAAATTTTTAATATCTGTGTAAGAATTTCCACATAATTCACAGATAAATGGTCTTTCTCCTGAAAAACAAGTTAAAAAATTAAAATCTCAGTATTTTATCTCAAAATCTCAAAAATATCAATGTTCACGAACACAATGCAAACATTATACTGTTTAAATTTAGTTTCAAGTTACCATTTTAATCTCTTGGTTCTAATATAGTGAAATGAAAACTTCTATACACATAGGCACTCCTTTCCTTTATAATACAAAGTGTACCTATTTCAAGGAAAAATCGAGCATTTTCACTAACAGAACCTTCAAACTAAAAAAAACTTACTTTTTTATTTCTATCAGACATAGAGTGAGCGCCAATTATATGCCAGACTCTGGCTAAGAGATGTAGCTGGAGGAAAAATGCGTAATTATGGTTTCTGCTCTCAGGTAGCTTATAAATTAGAAAATCCTTTAAAAATACTCACAGAATAAAAATACTACAAAATTATCATTCTTTTGAAATAAGAACTGTTCATTGCTTTATAATGCAAAGTAAGGAACATGAGGATATAGAAGTTGCCAATAAACTTATTAACTGTTTACTACTAGGTGCTCACACTATACTAGATAGGAATTACAAGAAATAACTTTTAGAAAGAAAAAGAACAGTAAGTACATTTTCAAAGTGGTGTTCTCCTTTGTTTTAAAATTTTTTTGTGTATTTCATATTTTCTTCATACTACTTATATACTACCTTTTACAATAACCATGTCAATATTAAAATATATTCCTAAAACGTGCATACTGAACATTGTTTAATAAGAAAATCTGGTATTATCTTGGTATTATCTATTCTTTTTCATTTTTTGGTATTATCTGTGTAATTTTATCCAAATCATTTAAAAACCATTGATTATCTGGCACACTTCTTAGAAAATCTACACAACTCTTGACCAAATTTAATCCATAATCCAAACAACTAAAAAAACAAAAATAAACAAATAAAAAGTTGATATTCATACATTAAAATATAACTACAGTTAGAGTATGATTAGATACCATATAGTCCATAATGGTTTAAAGTCAAGGTTTACATAAAAAGAAATTAGAGAGAACAAAAAATAATACGTTCTCCCTAAACACAGACCTGTATGGGATCGAAAGTGTTTGTTGAGCTCTCCTGAGGAAATAAAACTTTTCCCACAAATACCACATATGTATGGTTTTTCACCTAGATGGAAAATAAAAGATAGCGAAGTGGTGTACTATACCAATATAATATTTATCAATTACAATAATCTAAAGTAAGCTGTTCTAAAATATTATTTAAATTAAAACCTCTTTGTATTGTATTTCAGAGGTATTTTCAGTGTGATCCAACTTAAATGAACATTAGTAATTACTTTACACTGTTCATGTAACCTGATGCTTTTCATATAATAAAACTTTCTCCAAATATCCTTTTAGTAGACTACAGGTGGGCAAGAAGTCTGATTTTTATATAATTAAAAACATGAAAATTCATCAATCCATATTTCACTTTTTGCTATCTATAAGATTATTAAAGGGTTATCATTTAGGAAAGGTCTATTAAAAAATTACCCTACAAAAAAGTGAAAATTTTTGAACAACAGGTTTTGCTTCACAATTGATACTCTGGGTTTGAAGTATCTATTTAATTCGCAAATCTTACAATGTCTGTGTAGAAAGAGTCCTAAGAAGTTATTAAATCAACGTTCTACCCAAATTCACCCCAACCCCTTAACTTTACAGTTTTATCCAAGGGAAATGAAGCTTCAAGACCCTAAGGAGTTCTTCTAAGGTCATAAAAAATGTCTTATTAACGCAAGTTTACATATTGTCAAAATTATCTGATTTTAATGTATATAAGTTACATGATAAAAAATTTCACCCACTGTGTATTATTCTAGAAAATAAGTCTGCTTTTATATCTAATATTTATGTGAAAATCAGAAACACAAAAAGCTTCAAGAAGCACAGACACAACAGATATATAACTACAAAGCCTGTAACCTACTTTTTGTAAAGGCTCAATTTCCCTTTTTCTTTTATTTACAACTTTCCTTATTTTAAGCCACCTCTGTGTCAAATCCTTACCGGTATGTTTTCGAGAATGAGTAATAAGAGAACTAGAGACAGCAAATGCCTTCCCACAGGTGTCACACACATAAGGCTTTTCTCCCGTATGCCTTCGAACATGATAGGTCAATGTGCTGGCTTGGGCAAATCGCTGTCCACACCTATCACATACATATGGCTTCTCTCCACTATGCTTCCTGTTAGTAAATAAATATAAAGATACATGTTGGCAAGTAAAACAATCTAAGGATCATGCCACACAGCAAACATTTTTCATACAAATTCTTCATGCAGTATCTTATTTCATTTCATCTTAACAGATCAACAATATGTATTTAAAATCAACAGTTTTCAATGTATACTGTCAAGAATAAATGTTTTGGTTTTCAAAACATTAGTTCTGAGACTAGTTCAAAGTTTTGTCATCAGCCTTATGTGGTAGTCAAGTGTGCCCATAATACTGCAGGCAATTATTTTTGTCTGTCCATTCACTCACTCTTCAAAACTCTTTCCTCAAACCTTCAGCACCTCCTCACTCATCCTCTCAGCTGATGTCCTTGCTTCCTGTTTCACTGAGAAAAATTTAAGGAATGAGAAGTAAATTTCTACCACACAAATCTCCACCTATAGGCATCTGTATCTATAGGGTTTGCTTTTCTTAACTCTAATATGAGAATGACAGTTCTTCTGAATCCAAGTACTCCACTTTATACACTTAAGACACTATCCTCCTTGCCTACTCAATGATCACTCTTGCAATTTCCTCCATCCTATATCATCTAGTTTCACCACCCCTTTGGATCGTGGCATACAAATATACTGATATATCTCCCATCTTAAAAAAAAAAAAAGACCCCTGACCTTACTTACTCCTCTATTTTCTGTTCCCCTTTAGTAAAATCTTGAGTCTCCAATGGTTCTACTTTCATTTCTTCTCTACTAGCCTCTGCTAACACTGCTTTTGTCAAAACCACTGCTAACCTCTCAGTTTGCCAAATCCAATAGTCAATTCTCACTCTTAATCTCAGAGTTTGAAACTGAGTTTTAAACTCAGTTTCAAATCTCAGAGTTTGAAACTATCATCAGAAACAATGATTACTCCCTCTGAAATCATTTCCTCCACCTGGATTCCAAGATAGCCCAATCTTCTGGTTTGCCCCTATATTGGTTGTTCCTTCCTAGTCACTTATAGTGACTTGCCCGTCTCCCAGAACTCTTAGTGTGCCTTATGACTCCATCCTTTGATCTCTTTTTTATCCATCTTCACTCTCTTGGTGACCTCATCTAATGTTATGACTTTAAATACTATCTACTCAAACCAGTCCCCTGACTTCCAGACTTAGATAACCAATTATCTAATGCACGTTTCCATTCAGATGTCTAATAGTCATCTCAAATTTAACATGATCAGAACTCTACTCCTCAACTCCTGTACTCCTACTTAAACTGCTTTGTCCAGAAATCTCCACTTCAGTTAATGGTAATTCTATCTTTTCAGATGCTCAGGCTCAAAACCTGAGAATCATTTTTAATTCTACTCTTCTTTTTTTCTTTCATACCCCACATCCAATGTGCAGCAAATTCTGTTTGTTGTACCTTTAAAATACATCCAGAATCTGACTACCACTTATCTCTTCCACTGCTATCTCTCGGACCTGAACCACTGTCACTCTCACTTGGGTTTTATCTATAGCTTCCTAACTGGTAGCTTTGCTTCCACTCTTGCAATCCTACAATCTTTTGCTTAACATAGCATCCATAGTGATCCTCTTACAATGCAAGCAAGATTACATCACTTACTTCTCATTCTCAAGAGTAAAAGCTTTATAATGACCTACAATGACCACCATCTGGACACCCTAACACCATTCTGATCTTATTTCCCTCCCTCACTTATTCCCCTCCAGGCACCATGGCTCCCTTGCGGTTTCTTCACTGTACTAAGAATACTGTGTGGTGGTACCACAATTAGAACTCTACTGTCCTGAATTCTCATATAATAGTCTATTTAAGGCTATAGTGCATGACAGACTCAAAGATCAAACATCTGTTTTTTTGTTTTTACCTTGCATGAATCTTGAGATTGCTAGAAGTTGCAAATTGTAAATTGCATACATCACATTTATAGGGTTTTTCCTCACCATGATGCATGCGACTATGGAAGACTAGCTGGCATTTCTGAGCAAATCCTTTATCACACAATTCACATTTGTATGGCTTCTCACCTAAAGGAAAAGTAAATAAAATTTATATTTAGAAGGAAATATTGTTTTATTTGCTTAAGCCATACAAGCTTTCAAAAGAGTTCATCAACAGTACTAGTTTCAGTATTCAGAAAATATTAACTCTAGGAAGTAAAAAAGCAAATAGGATATTTTTCCAGATTCATTACTGAAACCACCAGTAGAGTTAAAAGAAATTAGTGTTTCTTAGTCCGTAATAGTGAAAAGTGATCAATGAGAGAAATACATAATGCATCTTAAAAAGCACAAATCTAAGTGTACCAAAAAAGGTAAATATAGAGGCTGAGGAAGGAATGTATACATAATTTATGTTCAGAAGTTCGACAAAGAAGCAGGTGGTGAGATGTGTTGGTAAAATCTGAGAATCAGCCTGAGTTGTAATTACTTTTTATCAGTTTTAATGTATTGTCTGTTAAATATTTAGCAAGGTAGAACTAAATTTATGCTTATTTTAATTGTGAGGGAAAATGGTTTAAAGAGTTCACACACTGGGACTTCAGAGTATCAGTTACAACAAAACAAATAGCCATTAAATACATGGTCACAATTACAAAGACATTTTCAAGTCTAACATGCTCAATACTTTTATGAATACAAGTATATACCAAATTTTGGTCACAGTCAACACTGTATGTTAATATGTTTATAAAAATATTATTTCGGTCACAATATAAAAACGATTATACTTTTCACAAACCAGTCTTACCTGTATGAGTTCTTACATGCGTTTTCAGCTGATTACATTGGGTAAATGCCTTTCCACACAAGTGGCAGACATAAGGTTTGACTCCTTTATGTATTCTCATGTGCCTTCGCAAGCTGCTGGCTTCTGAAAACACTTTCCCACATGTGTTACACATTGGTTTGGCCTTGGAATACCTCTGATCCAGCTCTTCCCCGGAGCTCTCCAGCTCGTAAGAGTTCTTGACACTGGCTATATTAGACATAGAGTGTTCTTTCAGAGCACAGTTTGGCTGTGATTTTCCACGTTTCCGTTTCACTGTAACAGTTTGCACAATATCTTGTGCTGGAAAAGTATTTTCCACAACTGATGTCAACTCAAGTTCTGAATTATTTCTTTGTGCAACTTGTTCTATTACAGGTGTGGACAATTTATTTGCATCTAGATATACTTCAACAGGTGCATTCTCTAAAATGTCACTGGGATATTGCACTGTTTTATTCTGCCCTGTTTTCTGGGAGTTGAAGGCCTTCTTCTTCTTTTTACTTTGAGATGACTTCTTTGCTAAAGCCCCTCGTTTAGGATTTGCCTGAACTAAATCTGTAGACCCTTCTGATTTCTCCCGACTGTTATAATCTCGTAGAGTAAGGAGACAAGTCTGTTGATTCAATTCAATGTTTCCGGTAATACTAGATATCTCTGTAGAAGAGGGATTAGCAATAAAAGCAAAATCTTCCATCTTTATTTTACATTTAGTGACCACCTCTTCCACTTTGAGATAGTCAGCAGCCTGATGGATTTCTTTAACATTCCAACTGTAAGGAAACAAGGCTAAATGACAATGTTCTGATCAAAGAAAAAACGTTTTTGAAACAGAGCTACACAAATATTTCTGTCTTTTAAAGACCTAATGAATTAGAATGATACAAAAGGCCTAAGAGAACAAATTTATAAAAATTTTATTCACTCAGAATGTTAAGGCAAAAATCTCCAGTTTTATAGAACTTGAAAAGATGAAAAGTAATGGATTATTCCTATGTTCCAACCATGGAAAAACAAAATGTTAACATTTCTACTTGTTAAGAACACAGCTGGAACACGAAAGTGGCTGTTAGCAACTCACTGCCTCCTCCCATTTCTCCTGAGGCCTCTTCAGATACCAACCAACTTTTCTGGACTGGCAACAAGAAGAGTCTAAAGAAATTATTATCTTCCTCTGCTCCTGTGAAGAACTTCAACTGCACTTCTCAAACTTTCCTGTGCATGTGAGTCACCCAGGGATTTGTTAAATGTAGATTTTGATTCAGTAGGTCTGCTTTGGGGCCTGAGCATCTGCATTTCTAACATACGCCCTGGTGGCGCCAATGCTGCTGGTCCATGGATCACATTTGGAAGAACAAGGTTTTAGAATGCACTAAGCTCTCTCTAGCAACCTTCCCAGCTTTTTTGTGTGTGATCCCCAACCCGAATTAGCTGGAGAGTTTGTCATATTAGTTATGTAGAAAAAATTAATGTTCAACATTCCAATCAATATTTACTGAGCATTTCACTTTATAAAATGCTTAATCTGCCGACTCAGGAGCCCGCGGTGCGGGGTGGGGTAGGGTGGGCAGCTGCCCATTAGACCAGCAGAGCAGGACTGCAGGGGTGCGGCCCTCCCTCCCATGCCCTTCTGTTCAGATACCCAAGGGGCCCATGTGCACCCCTGGGATCACATGGCCGAACACAGGACCCCAGAGGTTTCCAGAGTCTTTGCCTACCAGGGGGCTGGGGCGGCCCTGCCGGCCCATCTCTGAGCAGAGCATCCCTGGATGGGGCAGAGCTGCATATGGCTGGGCGAGACAGGGAGGGGTGGGGCAGTGGGCTCTGGAAGGGGCTGATGGTAGCAGATAGGGTGTTGCCACCTGCCTGCAGGTGGGAAGCACCCTGACTGAGTGGGTGGCGAAGGGTTGGTCACCAGGCCCAGACCCCCAGCTCCTTTGGTTATAGACTGACATCAGAGTAGTGGCTCATGGGAAGTGGTTAGCTGGAAGGTCTGAGGCCTGGCTCACAGAGTCAGGGAGGAGCTGGGAGAAGGGGACAGTACTGTGAAGGCAGATAAGGGGCAGCAGCCTCAGGTTTATGCCCCCAACTCCCCTGGTATTTTCCAAGCCAAAGACAAAGCCTGCAGCTTACTTTTAAAAAAATTCTTTTTAAAGAAAAGCAATTTATAAAAGCAAAAAATTAAAAATCTCCTTATTGTTAAATCTTTTAATATGTATTGTTGTATGTATTGAATAAAATATGAAAAAAAAGAAAAGAAAAAGCAAAAAAAACAATTTACTGAGCATTTACCATGTGTGGTACTGAGAGCGATATTAAGAAATATCAAATAGTCTCTGGCCTCCAGAAGTTTACAATGTAGTGAAAGGCTGGCTGTTCAGTTATGCTAGCAAGGGCTCTGGATTACTAGCTGAATTAATTAGAATAAATCAGCATCTTTGGGTGCTTCAATTTTCTTAGCTGTAAAGTCAGAGAGCTGAGTTGGTATTAACACTAAAAATATGCACTTTTAATTATCTGACGATGGATACATACATAAACATACACATACATACATACATACACACACACACCCTCAAGTAACCTTCCTACTTGTCATTTTCCCCAGATATTATTTAATTCTTCAGAAAAATTAAGTAGATTTATAGGCTAGTTTGGAAACCTAATCACCACTTTTAGTGAACATTTTATTCTCTGGGAAAATCCATCCCAAGCTCCTAAACATACTACAAATAAACTTTTGGAAAACAATCTGTTTGTAAACTGACTCCCTTAGCTAAGAAAACATTACTTACAATAGTCTTTTCTTATGGCCTTTGGCTATAATTCTGGAGCAAATAACGAATGATCTTTGTAATCAAGTTAACTCCCCGTTTGCAAAGATATAGCATGAATGCCCCAAACATAAATACAATCTTATTCATCTTCCATACAAAATGCTTTTTGCATGTATATAGCACTGTCACTCTCTAAAAACATTACGTTTCTTAAGCATTTTTATTGATTCTGTTATACAGTCCATTATTAAATTACAATAAATGAGAGACACCATTAGAATGAAAACCAAACTTACTCCATCACTTGTTATACTTAGGTCTCAAATTATAATTGTGCTTAGTGCTTCATAAAATGAATCACAAACAAGGTGAGATAGCCTTTAAGACCAATACAAACTAGTATTGAGTCACACACTAACTGTTCAGTACTGAAACAGTAATTTATACTAATTATTTATCTATTTCACAGATAGCCTATAATCTCAGTTACAATTAAGAGAATCAGCATTTGTTTATGTCAATAATTGATCTGCTTTTGTTTATAAGCATGAAGTTAAAGTGCCTGCAAACTTGCTTTCACTTTTTGAATAGTCACTGAAAGTCATTTAATTACATATTGCCAGGTATATGGCTAAATGCTTTACATGAGTAATTATAATCCCCATTTTACATACAAATGAAGGATCAGAGGTCCAAAGAAGTTAAGTAACTTGTCCAAGATCACAGAAGGTTAGAACTAAGATTTGACCAAGGTAATCTAGCTCCTGAGTCCACTTAATTCTTTATTATTCTGTTTTCTTAATCACTAAATTGTACAGACTTTCTATTTTTGGTATATGTCTTCTCTTGCATTTGTGTCTCAGCTCAAACAATTGGCTCCCCAGCTCCCCAGGAAAGACATGTATCAAAAAAGACTGGGCTTCCCTGGTGGCGCAGTGGTTGAGAATCTGCCTGCTAATGCAGGAGACACGGGTTCGAGCCCTGGTCTGGGAAGATCCCACATGCTGCGGAGCAACTGGGCCCGTGTGCCACAACTACTGAGCCTGCACCTCTGGAGCCTGTGCTCTGCAACGGGAGAGGCCACAACAGTGAGAGGCCCGCGCACCGCGATGAAGAGTGGCCCCCGCTTGCCACAACTAGAGAAAGCCCTTGCACAGAAATGGAGACCCAACACAGACAAAAATAAAATAAAATAAATTTTAAAAGACTGAGCCAGGGACTTCCTGGGTGGCAGTCCAGTGGTTAAGACTTCACCTTCTAATGCAGGGTGTGCGGGTTCATTTCCTGGTCGGGGAGCTAAGATCCCACGTGCCTTAGGGCCAAAAAACCAAAACATTAAACAGAAGCAATGTTGTAACAAATTCAATAAAGACATTAAAAATGGTCCACATCAAAAAAAAAAAAAAAAGATTGAGCCAAACATCTGGCTCTTCTTCACATTGTTTTTTTGCATGAAGGCTCAAAGTAAGGCACTCTTCATTGTGTTCCAATCAGTTCAAGATTTTTGGCAAAGTTATTTGAAAAAGGGAAACCACTAAATTGAAGATCAACCAAAATTCACTGGTTTTGTGATTATTTTATATTACGTATTCTAAACTTTTAGATCAGAGGCACTTGTATAGCCAAATATTCAGTAAATTTAAATAACATCATATGATATTTATCTATGACACTGCTTTATTCCTTTAATCAACTTACACAGAACTGACTCAAAAATTTCATTACATCAAAATTTAAAAGCAATTCCAAACAGCATGAATGGTTCCCTTTCAATAGGATTAAGGAACATTTCCACGATAAGCTGCAGTGTAAAGAGAGGGAAGAACTTTGCTTAATGTGTACATGCATATATCTATAGAGATCACCTGGAAAACAATGAAAGAATATTTACCGAAGTGTTAAGAGTGGTTATCAGTGGGTGGCAGAATTTCAGGTGTTTCCTTTTTTGTTTTTTCCCTAATTTTTCTCCAATAAATGCGGAATTAATGGGCTTGTAGAGTAGGATAGAGAAGAGGAAATAAAGGAAGGAAAGTAATGTTCATTGGGAGGTAGTAAATCCTAAATCTTCACAGTAACAACCAATGTAGTTATTATCATCTCATTTTTACAAATGGAGAAACTGAGGCCCAGAGAGGCTATAGCTTGCTCAGAGACATGGTGACTTGACAGGCAAGATCTAATTCTAAAGCCCATAATCTTTCTGTGTCACATGATGATCTATTCATGTTTACACTTTCATAAAAAATGGAGAAAAGAAGACAAGAGTAAGTTGATTGGTTTCTCTTTCCTTTTATCCCCACCACCATTCCCCCAACAACAAGTAAGCATATTAGTATTAATCTAATTATACAGTTCATCAAATATGAAAGACACAAAATGCCTGCATTACAGATTCCTCAGAACCTACTTCTTGTCAGTGCAGTGACAGCATTAAGCATCTCAGAGAAGCATCCTAGCATCTTAGACCAGACTTAAGCATTAGCACTGATAGCTCTACCAGGCAAAAGGAGTCATGGCCATTAACACGCCAAGTAAGTTATTTTCCTGAATCAAGATCAGGAAGAGGTCCTGCAGGTTGCTATTTACAGCTGGAAATGGGAGCACTATTAAATGAACACAGAGATTCTTCCTTCTTTCTCCACCTATACCTCCCCACCCCTAACACCTTAAGAGGTAGGGGATAGAGAGTGAGAGAGAAGACCAGAGTTACATAAAGACCAAAAAGCAAGGGGAAATTGGAAATTCAATTAAAATTCATCATATTTTGATCTTTAACTGAAATCACAGGCTTTGTTTCAGTAGATAAATCAAATGTGTCAAAAACCATACTTTAATCGTATTAACATCTGTACTTTTTGTGCTTATGAAATGTGGTCTGTTTATCTCAAAGCAGAGACACTGACTTCTTTATTAAAAACAACACTGTGCACATCAATATTTGAAGACTCAGAGTTCAGGGACTAAATGGAAAAAAACTAATCTGCTTTAGCTCTAAAGACTATTGACCAGCTTTTATAAGTGGAAATAAAATGTGTACCTTACCTGTCAAGATTTAAAGTTCCTGTGTATATAAATTCCAACAGTTTCTGAAATCCATCAGCCTTCACCTGACTCTGATCAAGAAAGACATTGTTCTCTGAAGTGCTTCTGTAGATCGCACCAAAATACTCACTAAACGAGGCAAGCACATTCCTATGAGCTTTAAACTGGAATTCCCCAATTACTATGGTGCAGTCACAAAGAAAACCTGCTTCCCGTTGTTTGTTCAGTCTCTCTAAAAGGTGCTCACAGTGGTGCGAATACTGCATTTTGATATCAGAATCGAATTTTACCCTTGCTCTAAAAAACAAAAAGAAATAGTAAATCAGTAACCCTAAGTTTTCATCAAACTTTTCACCCAAGCAATTGGTGAGCGAAGAGACACAGAACATGAACTAGAATAAAGTCTGTTCTCATTTTATATCCCCAGAAAATTCTTATCAAACAGATATGGATAAAACTGCCGAAGGGATAAATGCCTTTCTAGCTTTTATTTCATCATGGTAAACTAACACAATCCTTTGGACACTTCAATAAATGGCCATGTGCGAAAACATTTTCCACAAAGTGGAAAAAAAAAAAGCACCGCAAAATTTCACGCCTTTGCATCAGTTGAACCTTCAGACTTTCAAGCTCAGTAGGCACACGTATACTACGAAAAAAAAATTAATAAACCACTAAGAAATGATTTCTTGGGACAAAGGGGGAAAGGACACTGTATGAGTTCTTTAAAATTGCTCTCAATCGCTTCTCGGCTTTTTGGCTAAGATCAAATGTAGAACTCTCAAATCACTGAAACCTGTTAGCTTCCTCGGAGCACAGTGGCTTCAAACGCAAGGTGGGCGCCCAGGAGGCGGAGAACGAGCAGGACCAAGAGTTGTCAAAGGTTAGGTCACTCACCCGAGGAGGCCACTCCCCTCCCTACCCCGCCTCCACTCGAGGTGGCATCGGAGACTGACTGCTAAAGCCGGTCTCTCCTGGCTTCCGCCTCTCTGCCCCTCGCCGAGCTCCCACTCCCGCGAATTCCCACAGCAGAGGTTGTGGCCAAGGCCAACACGGGGGCTGCCTCGCCCAAGCTTTCCACACTAACACCTTCACTCCGACCTGAGCGCGAACTCCAAGGGGCCTGCCCTCCAATGCCCCTGGGTCTGGAGAGAGCGGGGACAGCAGGCTGAGGGCGAAGACAGAACTCACCTATAGTAACCCAAAGGAGAACAGTTTCTTCACTCTCTCTCCGCCATCTTGGAAGGACGTCACCGCGCCACGCTCCACCTCTCCCTTCTTCCTCCACGGCAACGTCACATCCGGCTCCGGGCGTTCCGTGGCAACACCGTAGGCTCTAGGATCTCGGAGGGCAGATGCCGGCCTGTGGGGAATAGTCTGGCGTACAGAGACACCGCTACCTAGCATGCCAGGAGCTAGGAAGAAACAGGGAGAGTCTTGGATACGAGATCTAAGGGCTCGCTCACAGCGCCACACCTGTCTTCCTCATTCTGAGCATTCTGGTTGGAGGACAGTCGGCATCTCGCGCTCTGCCCGCGTTCTGGGCCGAGGCTGAACCACGCTGCACCGCGGGGCTCTTTC